AATTCACAACACAAGTCATCTCAAGGCACTTTACAGTTCACCAGATCATCCAGTCAAATTGACTTGAATGCAATCCCTCACCCTAAGAATGCTTAGGGTGACAGTGGGGAGGAAAAACTCCCTTTTAACAGGAAGAAACCTCCAGCAGAACCAGGCTCAGTGTGAGCGGCCATCTGCTGAGGCCGACAGAAGCAGAGATTGAACCAAATTCAGCTTGAGCTTAATCACAAACAGGAGACCGCTTCATTGTATTGAGTTTATTGTTTTCAATGCAGACATGAGCAATGGGCAGACAATGACAGGAAATGGCTGACAGCTTTCAGTTTAAACACATGTAAAGGCTTCATAGAGGCAAAAGCAGCATGTTAACTAATACATCACTGAAAGGCAAACCGATCACTTTTGTGTTTAAACGCTTAAAAACCCAAAGTGAACACGGTTTTGGTGATACGACGGCAACTGTACAGCTCACATTAGTTCAAAATAGAGATGAAACTGTAATAAAAATGCTAAAGACCTAACAGGACTCAAGTGAGTTGCTTATGGCTGATTTTCATTCTATTAATAAAATAATATTCTCGCAAACACTTGTTCCCATCCAGTACGACTAATATTTAAACATACTGCAGTTTTCCTTAACAAATACTTGGTGTAAATAGATACAAAATCCCAACTGTGTACAACAAAAAAAAGGTATTCAAATAAAACATATGAAGATCAAAGTCTTATTTCTATCTAAAGTCCCTCTGAACACACAAACACCTTAATGTAACGTCCTCTGCTGTAATGATCTTTAAAACAAATGCCTGGCTGTAAATACGTGTATTTGTATTGTTTGATTTTAGGAGATGAAGAACCTCTTTAATGAGATATTTATGAAACTTTTTATGGATGTAAAACATTTAAAAAATTGCTAGATTTAATTATTTATTGAAACAAAACAGGCCAAGTGAAATGTTTTACTGTACTAACAGTAACATGTCCTAATCAGGAGCTTGCCAGCAAGCTTTATCATTCCGATAAACACATTCATGATAAAAAAAAAAAAAAAAAAAAAGACCCGCTGCTTTTAGAGACAAAAGCGATTTAATCCACCACTTCTACAATGTCCTAAAGCAGGGGTCCTAAACGTTTTTTTACAGGCCAAGGACCCCCAAACTGATAGTGAGATGGAGCAGGGACCCCCTAATTATATATATATTATATGAAATTGTGTTATATCAACCTGTTCCTGTAGTCACTCTATTACAGATGGAGTAATGTAATGAAAGTAATTTCTCCCTGGGATTATTAAAGTATTTCTGATTCTGATTCCTGGTTGATGGGACAGGTGTTGTGAATGAAACGGTGCCCAGCTTGAAAGAGCTCCTGTGTGTCGCTAAATGTGTGCATCGATGACTGAAAGACATCTTCTGCCTCCATTTATCTGTTTACTACAGTGTGTTGAATTCATGTTAATGTGGATTTAAAGATATTTTAATTAGTGGAAAAAATTGCAGGGGGGAATATTAAAAAAAAGCCTAATCGACCCCCATGCAGTACCTCCGTAGTCCCCTAGGGGTCACGGACCCCCTGTTAAAGACCTTCCTAAAGCACCGCTTTTAACCAACCAATAGCTAACTTCCAGTGGATATCGTAACAGTTCAGTTTCTTACTGTAAAAACATACAGACTGTTCTGTAACAGCAGTGTGACGAGGCCTAAGAGTCTGAAGCTAACTGACGGCTAACTTTGAGTACAAGATAACTGCTAGCATCATTTCTCGTTTACCAGAACAAACTTTTATTGATATAAATAAAAATAAGTCGGTTACACAACCAGGAAACTCCTAAAGCTCGTCTTTTGGTCATCATTGCCACAAGCTCCATAGGTTGAATACTGACACAGAAACTCTGAATTTAAAGTCGTAGGGAAGCGGCTGTTCTAACCGTTGCATTTACAAATTTTCCCGAGTGGTGCCCGACTTTACACTTATGAATAAAGTGAATGTGATTGGTCGTTTATCAAGGAGGCGGGATTGTTGTGGCGAAAGATTTACAAGCAAGTTTGGTTTTGGCCGGTTTGTCGGAAGCATCTTGCTAACCAGTTAGCAACTTAGTGCTAGCAGGTTCCCAATGGGAAATTCCATTAAGACCAAGTAGCACTAAATCGGTGACTTAGAAATGACACTGTCAAGGAACGCTATGGACAGCGTAAACATGCAAGAGGAGGAGAGTTTTGTGGTGGAGGTCGTGGATGAGTCTCCTCCGTCATACATTTTTTATTTAGAGGAGGAAAGCGGGACGAAGATGTTGTGGAAGAGGACGCCAGGGCGACAGAAGCTTGGTTTGGTGTAGCATGCTTACAGCCGTACATGTTTGAACCCTTGCCTCACAACGCTGCCAGTTCTGGTAGCTCTATGCCTGGCAAATTATTATTAAATATTAGCCGCGACGTATGAATCAAGGTGCTATGACCAAAAAAATTTGATTGACAAATGATCGTTGATATATGATTTGCTGAATTTAGGTGTACAAGCTGACGTATAACTAACTGGCCTGCATAAGATAACGAAAAAAACACAGATTTAAAAACATATAGATATAGAAATTTTCTAACTTTTGGGACAATATCTGATGTCTGATAAAGAGTACAGTTATATACATGTTTAGGCCAGAATGGTTTGACATTCAAATATGATTTCCCTACGACTTTAAAGCGTCCAAACACCAGCGTAAACCAAAAGTAAAACCGTCATGGCCGCTTAGATCACCAAGGGTTGACAAGCTAACGGGTGTTGAAAATCACAGATTAAACAAATGGATTTTAAGTGAACTTTAGATACCCGTTTACTAGCTAACGACAATGGACAGATTCCAATTAAACGTGAATTCAAAGTAGAAGAAACGTGCTTTTCTTTGTGACATCTGCCATTAGCACAAAAGAAAAAATTAGGGTGACGTCATCTGCTATTAGCATGTTTGTCATGTAGCAACCTGCAGGCTAGCTAAGCAAAGTTACATGCAGGAAATGAACGTGGCATGCTAAAAAAAGTTTACAGAACTGAAATGTTCTGTACTCAGAGGCGTCCGTGTTCTTTAAACAAATCCAAAACCTCAGATGTAAATTTTTTAGAGACATATTTAAATGCTTTTAAAACTAATGGTTTAAACCCCCAAATTAGAACTGTGTTAGCTTTCGCCTTTTCTTGTAGCGGTGAAAGAAAATTGCTAATTATTCAGCAGCTGTCATGAGATTTTCCAGAGCTATATTATTATAAAAATCGCAATATGTTGTATGTATTGAGAAAAAAATCGTCTAGTTGGACCTGTATCGCGATGCGCATTGTTTTGGTGAATCCTTGACAATTCCCCCATTTCCTAGTTAATTCAAGTTTGTTCAAAGACTTTGATCGGTCGGTATTTTTAGTTAACAAAAATCTAAATGAAAATATATCTTTTCAAAAGGGACAATTCAGATTTTCTAGGTGTGTTTTCTTTTCTGGTTATCTGATGTCTTTATCTTACTTGTAGTAAGTATGGACCATAAGACTTACAAACATCTTTAGTTATTTGCGAAAATAAAAAATAAGAGTCAAAACATTGGTGATGTAGTGTTGCACCGATCCCATTTTTTGGCAACGATACCGATACCTGGCTGTGCAGTATTGGCCGATACCATACCGATGTTTGTATATATGAAGAACTGCATACTACTTGGATGGAAAATAATTGCCATCATTGATTTGTCAAGCTGCTGCCTACCTTTGTGAAGCAGGAAAAAGACTAATACAAAGTGAATCCAGTAGAACTTTTTGTTGTCTACCTGGAATGGGTGACAATAGTTGAATAAACTTTTGGCTCTTAAAATGATATCGGTGCCCTATTTGTTGGTACTCGCCGATTCCGATACTATTTTAGAGCTGGATCAGGGCCCTGTCCATACTGGTATCGGTGCAACACTAGAATAAAGTATTTTTTTAATTTTATATTTAATTTCTTTATCAAATGTGCAAAACATGTTCTGCTTAGCAGTATTATCTGAAGGTTATCGCAATTTCCAAAAATAAAGATTTATTTGTTGTATTAGCGGAGATGCTACGTTAGCCTTCACACAAACAAAAGTTGGTTTTTGATGGTCAGAATATGTGCTTCTCTCTTGAAACCTGCTGGCTAGCATCGCTTTAATTAGAGAAGGTAAGATACTGACTGTTATTTTAGTGAACCAAACTACCTGTATTGGCAATCATTTCCATTGGATCATCTAGTCATGGCCTACCGCACCTGGGGCCTGTTATTCAGTGCATTTCCTGTTCTAACTGGATCCATTTGTTAATAGAGGCTGGAAAATCAGAATTATGACTTTAAACTAGACCACTGGCAGCATTTGGGTTATTGGTATGAAATACACGGGAAGATAGGTTTGTTTGTTTAACTTCAAACTTGAATGGAAAATAAAATATGCAAAGGCATATGTATGTGAGTGATACCTTTGCACAAACTGATTATCATCTCTGTGAACTCTGACTTCTTTTTCGGATACACACTGGAAAAACAATCTAGGAATAAGTAAAATTTTATTTACCCTTAATTTGACTAAGTAAATGAGATAATTTACCAATATAATGAGTATTTTAAGTAAAAATGTCTGAAATTAAGTATATTTAACCTTAATTTGAGTGGGTTAATGAGATGATTTGCCAATGGAATGAGTGTTTTTACTCTTAAAGTAAGATATTTAGACAAAATGCACTTAAAATAAGACAATGCAATTGTGTTTTCTTACTTTAAGTGTAAATTGTCTTGTACCATTGACAAAATGTCTCTTTTACCTACTTAATCCAAGAACAAATGCACTTATTTTAAGAAAAAAATACTTATCTAGATTTTGATTTTTTCCAGTGTGCAATTGTGTTTTCTTATTTTAAGTGTAAATTGCCGTTGGCAAAATGTCTGTTTTACCTCCCAATCCCAAAAAAATGCACTTATTTAAAAAAATGTTTTTTGATTTTTTCCAATGCAAATAAGAAAATGTCATGACAGTCTTGCTAGGGCAGCTAAATTCAGATTCAATAGGACTGGTGACAGCTGCAAACTCAGGAGGACTAAATACTGAAACTGAATCAAATAGTATTTGTTTAGGGTTTAGCGCACGTTAATGAAGCTAGGTTCTTCTTTATAAAATTTACTATAGGGGTTAAAACCCCATATTGTAACTGGGAAAGCCTTTAGAGAGACATTTTATGGCCATCTGCACTTGCAGCAGATTTACATTTGTTATAAACGACTGTAGAGCTGGAAGTCTGAATGCCCACAGATACTGCAGACACCGTGAGAAGCTCTAGCTGCACAGCATAGAGCGCTCGCACCCTGTTTGCCACTAATGCAGAGAGAAAAGAAACAAAACGGAGGAAACACTGAAGCCTCCCTACAGCAGTGAGGAGGGAGGGATGGGGTCATCGTTTCCTCCTGACATCTACCACTGAACTGCTTAAGCCGTTTAAAAGCTTTTAAATAAATGTGTAGGGAGTATATACACCATGGTGCCTCTGCAGTTCAGACCTCATCGCAGACACACAACCGTCGGCTGAAGGAGGGACGCCGCAGGCATGGGGTTTCCAAGGCTCTCTGCAGTTTCACAGGTTTGGATGAAAAATGTGTTTTCGTTGTATTTATTACTCAACTACCGGCGGTTTCTTGGCTTTTTCCATAAAAACGTGTAAAGTTTCTCTATAGAGATTCCGTTAGGCAGACGGTTCGTCTCAGTGTTCGTCGAGTCGATGGATCGACGCCAAAGAGCAGAAGAAAAACTCGCCCTCATGGGGACAGAAAAGAAGAGTCGAAACAGGTGGTTCACTGAGTTCAAAAAGCAACAATCATCTGTCCTTTTTTCCGTTTCGTCCTCCATTCATGCCAACTGTCTATAAAGCACTTTGTGACGAGCCTGGGTATTAAAAGCGCTTTTTTTTTTTCTTTTAATGATGAAGTCAGTTGAATTATAATTAGGACCTGGTGAGATACTGTTGATGAGGAGAGAAAAATGAAACCAGAACGGATCATCCACAGATGGGGCCCGAGTCAGGTGATTGTGATATTTTGTTGATTGCCAAGCTGGTTGACAGGAAGACACAAAAGAGGAGGATTCCGGTTATTACAGGTGGTGCATTCAGGGACAGGATGAGGGGTCGCTTCCTCCTCAGCCTCTTTAACACTTTGAGATTTTTCCATTTCTGTCCGTGCAGCGATTGGATAATCGGAAATGTAGACAGCCCTATCTGAATGGAGGCTCAACACCTCCTCTTCTGGTCACAGACGGGAGGTAGGACTTAGCAGCAGTCTAGGACGGCGTAGGGCTCTTCAAGGCATCCACTTTGGTCTCCAGGTCTGTAATCTGTGGAATAAATACAATTTAAGGTCAATTAATTTATATTCAAATGAATAGAACCGCATCGTTACATAATAATGAAAAGAGAATCCTTTCTAGTTAGCTAAAGCCGGGCATACACTGTACAATTTTTTCAATCGCTGCACGCAGCTACAGCTCACACTGTACTAGGGCTGGGTATTGTTTTCGGTTCCGGTACCAATACTGATACCTTCACTTCGATACCGGTTCCTGAACGATACTTTTTTCGATACCAGTTTTATAATATCAATTCAAAGGAAAAGAAAATTACACAACATAATAAAGTACAAACCTTGAGTTTTATTTTAAGCTCTGATTTTTCCATTTACATTTTTCCTCTTACGTACAAAACATTTTTTCAGTGAAGAGGAACAGTTGCAAAAAAGTCAGTGTCTAATATTCACTGTTACATAGGGTGACCAAACGTCCGTATTTCCCGGGACATATCCGCAGGAACAAATAAAATCAAATTTAATGATAGAAACCTTAGTCAGTTTAAAAACCTGCTGCTGTCATTCTGCACATCTCTGATGTTGCTGCTATTTTCAAATATCCATTACTGTAAAACACTGTTAAAACACTTTACAGAATTTTATTGTTTATATTTTAACTCTTCCCTATTATGTTATTCTTATACATTTTTCTAAGGTCCACATTTGTGTGACCATTTTCAATAATCTTTCTGCTGCTGTAAATTTGCCCATTGTGGGACAATAAAGGGATTTTCTATTCTATTCTATAAAAGGGTTAGAAATATATAAGTAAATCTAAACAATGTATCTACAAAATATATCTGCAAAATCTCTAACATTCAACAACAAAAAATACGTAGTTAAGCATATTGTGCAAAACAACAATAAAAAAATTAAACTCCTATCAGATTTATAGTTCCCATACTGCAGATCTATTAGAATCTGTCCTTAAATTACAGCCAAACTCATTTACACAGTAACAGATAAAAAGCTTTAGATAAACCAAACATTACCGCCACATATCTGACTAAATAACCATTAAAACAACTATTTTGATTCATTTCAGACGGAACTATTCACAGAGTTGTATCATATTAAACTGAACTTCCAATTTTCACCACTGTTCTGCGCCAAGTAACCTTTCCTCTGATCACGGAGCAAGTCCCGATGATGAGACATTTCTTCTTTCAATCAACCCCCCCCCTCACCCCACCCCCCCCCACCCCCACCACCACCACCACCACTCCAAGGTGTCCTGGTTTTCCCAAATGAAAATATGGTCACCCTACTGTTACATTGTGATGACCTTTTTACTTTGCTGTTTTTCTTTAGAAAAATGAACAGGTCTGCTTTCTCAGGAGACAAACAAGCCCGTTGAATGGGATCCTACTGACAGCGCACCGCTGGTATGTGGGGGTCTGAGCGGCTTCGACAGAAAGAATATTGGAAGGCAGGATGGTAATCTGGATGAACTGACTGCACTGATTAAGTTTTCAGGTGGATTTTCCCACTTAAAAACATAATAAAACTACTTTATTCCCACTGATCACAGCAAATATAGCTGCAAGGCAAATAAAGGATAGAGTAGCTCCACCCAACGCGCGTCAGAGCCACTTTTCGGCCGCGCAGCCAGAGCAGCAAAGCTGCTTCAGCCGCGTCAGAAGCTGGTACAAGCAGCAAAAAAGGAAGCAGCAGACGTGATTTTGCTGCTCTTGCTGCGTTCGGTGTGAAAGCAGCATGATTCACTCCGCTCTGGCTTTGCTCTGCCCACGGGCTGCTGAGAGGAGGATGGTCGCGCCGGCTGCTGTCCGCTCTTCTTGCAGTCAAACACAGAGAAACTTTCTGCTCTTAAATTATTTCCGTACACGATGTATCGCATTGCGCACTATTGGCATCAGTCTTAATAAAGTGAAGCCGCACTTTTGACCTGGGGGGCATTTTAAAGGGGTTCCACGACGCTCGCAACCAGTTCACAACAGATACACATGAACCCCAGCTGTAGGCGTTACCACCTCTGTATTTTTCCTGGATGACGCAATCACGTTAATTGTTACAGCCAATCACCGAAACTTGGTACCGAAAGACGAGGCATGTTTGGATACTCTGTAGAACCGAAGCATTTCGGTCGGTACCATAAAAGAACCGAAGTTCGGTAGCCAGCTGTACACTGTACAGTGTACAGAGTTTACATCTCATGATGCGATCTACCTGCTCCCACTGTACGTCTAAAGCCGGGCGTACGCTGTGCGATTTTTTGCATTAATCAGCCCGACTTCCCAGTCGTGTGAGAAGTTTTCGATCGGCCCGACTTTCAGCCTGATTGTGCATCGTGTAGTGTACAGGGGGTAATGACGGGCGATCAGCCTCTCACGACCATCTCCCCATCAGGAAACGTGAGGTCGGGAGAAAATCAAACATGTTTGGTTTTCAATCAACCATCGTGGGCAAAAAGCTCAGTGGGCAAACAAGATTTCCTCTTCTTCTCAGATGTAAACACAGAAGCATGGTGGGGGTGTGAATGAAATGGAGTTCTTTCTGTAACCAAACCAGGATTAATCGCAGTTAACTATGAAGCTTCTGTGATTAATCACGATTCAAGAAATTAATCCTTTAACTATATATAGATATATATAAATATAATATCTATAATGAATGGTAATTAATTGGATGTGATCACTATTAACAGCTCAGTGAGAAGAATTTACTCTATCGTCAACAAAGGCCTCCTGAGGAGGTTAATAATTTGTGCAACATTCCTGGAAGGAGAAATAAACAAATATACAGTGATTATAAAGCTTATAGTTAGAGTGGCTCAGGTTATCCTGAGCTATCTCTATAGTTATGCTGCTATAGGCTTAGACTGCTGGAGGACATGGGGACCCCTATTTCATCATTCTGCTTCATTCTATCTCTATTCTCCCACTCTGCAGAATCTGTTAGTTCAATCTCTAATGTTATGCTCTCTCTGCTGTTTCTCAGAGTAGCTTTGTCTCGTCTGTTTCTGTTTGGCTGTGACTCCATCCTGGAGAGAAACATCAGCTGTGCTGCTGCCATCAACGCCTTTGTTTATAGATGCTGGAGATCGGCCTGTTTTCCAGTGTAGTCCTGTTTCTCTGACCGTAACTGAGTGGATGTGTTCTCTTCATCCTCTGACATGGGAGCTGGCTCGGAGCTCGCCTGCCTGGCTGTGTGTTTCCTGGACAGGGCCGCCTTTTATAATTGCCTTTTGTATCTCTGCTTCTGTTTTCTGAGTCTCACATTGAGCCTGGTTCTGCTTGAGGTTTTTCCTCTCCACTGTCGCTACATGTATGCTTAGTGTGAGGGATTGTATCCGAGTCAATGAGTCGATGCAATCAGCTAGTTTTCCTACGATAGAAAACTTTGAATCAGTTTGACTGGATGATCTGGTGAACTGTAAAGTTCCTTTAGGTGACGTGTTGTGAATTGGCACTATAGAAATAAACTGAATTGAATTCATTGAACAAATATAGCACAGATGGTATTGTTTTTATTTTTACCAGTGTAGATTTAAATTCCTCCTTTTGGTACACCAATCAATAATTCCACCACATTTTTGCAGGTGCATTTTTAAAAAGTATGCCCCTTTAACATCTGCCCCTCACTCAGCCAAGTTTTAATCAAATCCCAGAGAAGGGAAGGACCCTGTCCTTGACTCTACACCGCCAGCTGATTAGACAGTTGCGAGTGGAGGGAGCCCCCTAGAGGTGTATTGTGATGGTGGAAGTGTCGCTTTACAGTTCTGGCGTAACAATCACTGAATTTAAATGGGCGATCACAACATTTGTCAGGAAGTGGGGGAAAGTTTGTGCGACAACAGAGGGACAGAAGGGCGAAAAAAGCGGGGATCCAGGTGGAAAAAAGGGTCCCAGCGTTCTCACGCACCTCGCTCTTCTAGCTGGTCCATCTTCACGAGTCGTTTTCCACAATGGCGGTCATACAAACAAAACAAGCCGTTAAGGTACCAAACAGGAAATACACATAGTGTAGATTTGACCAATCAGAGAACTCCTGCCTGCGAAACACACGCAGACGACCTGGATTCTGAAAATAAATCAGCTTTAAGTGAGACCAGGGGTCTCAAGTTTACCTCCGCTCCTCCTTTAGCTGCTAAATGAGGAGTTTTCACATGTGGGTTTGAGTCACAGAGGCAGCCACAGTGAGGAGAAAGTACAAAGCTAGGAGGGGACAGGGTCAGCTCTGCTGCTCAACCTGAGCTGTGTGTTTCTGTGCATCAGTAAGGATTTCTACATCAGTATGGGAATAAAAAAAAGGTCAAGTCACCAACCTTTTCCTGCAGGATGTCCGTCTCTTCTTTGTGAGTGGCCTCGCTCTCTTCTTGTGCACGCCACTGAGCGGTCTCTTTCTTCAGGTACTCAATTTCCCTACAAATCCCAAATGCACATGTATGTTTGTTTCTATGTTGATGATATGCGCTTTTAGCTGTAATCCAATGTGACTTTCTGATCAGGGTTCCTTATATTAGTTTCTATTCTCTTACTTTTGCTGGTATTCTTTAATCATTCTCTTGGCTTTGTTGTATTTCCTCTCTAAGGTTTGGTACTGGGACTGGGTTTCCTTCAGGTGTTCATCCACAGCCTGAAAGCACATGCTGAGTGTTACAAAATGTTCAGAATTCAACTTTCACTGGGACTGGAAGCTCCTAGTTTAAGAACAGGTAAAAAAATCCTTTTTATTCTCTAAGAAATTACCTTACACAGGGATTGTGCCTCCATCCAGTAGCCCTCCAGTTTCTCCATCCTCTCTTTGCTGTCTCTGATGTTTTGCTCCAACTGAGCGCGCTCCATCCGCCAACGCAGCTTATCCTGCTCTGCATGAGCCAGCTGGAGGTAAGGGGCGTGATGGTGGGAGGAAGGAGGTGGTATGTGGGAGGCAGAGCCAGCGTTAAGTCATTGTTTAGAACAGACAGAGAACCATTCCCCTCTGTACCACACACTTCTGAGTTTGTTTTTCATTTCATCCTGTAGAGGCGAAGTGAAAATAAAGTGGGCTCACCTTCCTCTTTAACAGCTGGATCTCTGCCTGCGTTACTGCATGTTTAATCTGGAGCTGCACCGACAGAAAAAGGACATTTTATTTGCAGCAGAGCAAAAAATAAATAAATACTGGGAAACATGGAAATTTATCAAACCGAAGAAATAGAAGATCAGATCTTTTTAAGTGAAGATGAATAAAATGTACCTCCTTAAACTTGTGGGCTAACTTCTCAGGGTCCAGCTCCACAGGAGACAAGTCCTGGTTCTCTGCCAGGTCGAAAACCTCGATGGAGTTGGGAAACATGGGACTCATCTCTTCTTCTTCATCTGTGGCATATTCACCAGTCTGTTCACAGACAATAAAGAAAATACATTTAGGGGTGTAAAAATGGGAGAACGGGACATTTAAAACCATCAATCATTAAACTTTTACCAGAGCAAGCTGTTGCTAAATCCTCCCAAATATCAGAGCATATATCAGGAAAGGCTTTAAATGAAACCTGTATTTAAGTAGTTAAAAGTAGGAAATCCAGTGAAAATATTAAAATATTTCCCCACATTTTATGCAATTAAAACCTAAAGCTAAACAGTTTAGTGAGCCAGCTGGAGGTAAGCGGCGTAATGAGATACAGAACATTAGATAATAATCTTAATTATCCATGCGTTTATTTTTAGTCGAATTGATTACAACGGTGTTTTCACAGGTCTGCCTAAAAAGTGGATCAGACAGCTGCAGCTGATCCAGAACGCTGCTGCCCGTGTCCTCAGTAAGACTAAGAAAGTAGAGCACATCACCCCGGTTCTAAAGTCCTTCCACTGGCTCCCTGTATCTCAGAGAATAGACTTTAAAATACTTCTGTTAGTTTATAAATCTTTGAATGGCTTAGCACCTAAATGCATCACAGACTTGCTATCAGTGTATCAACCCTCCAGACCACTCAGGTCTTCTGGCTCCAGCCTGCTCTGCATACCTAGAACCAGAACTAAACATGGAGAAGCAGCATTTAGTTCCTATGCTCCACTTATCTGGAACAAACTTCCAGAAAACTGTAAAAATGCGGAAAGCCTGAGTTCCTTTATATCAAGACTAAAAACACATTTGTTTAGGATTACCTTCAACTGTTCTTGTTATACAGGATACTATATATATTTTGACACTATATATACTTTTTTATTTTCTTTAGTCCAACTGTTTTTAATATTCTTTTTTGTTTCTCCATCTTTTATTTTATTCTTTTTATTTATATATATATTTTTCCTACTTGCTTTGATTCTGTTTTATCTTCCTGTATTTTAATCATGTAAAGCACTTTGCATTGTCTTTGAACTGAATTGTGCTATACAAATACATTTGCCTTGCCTTAATTCTCACAATTTTTAACACTAATGGCAGCCATATTGGATTTTGAGGCTTTGGCTGCTGAGAAATGTTTTTATTTGCCAGTTTATTCAGTTGAATTTAAAATGTTAGAACTCAGATTAGATTAGGATTAGGATTAATTTAACGAACCGCTTTAAAAAAATCATACAAAAGGTGAATTAATTACCTATTAAAACAGTTTCTGGAAGGATGTTTTATGTAATTTTAGATAAATAACGGTTATAATTACACTAATATTAGAAAATAACTTTTTCATGTATAATTAGGGTAGTCACCCGTCCCTCAAAACACGGAATCGTCCCGTATTAAAAAAAAAACAACAAAGTTTGAACTGTAAATTCACAGTCATTTTTACTCATTTTCAAGGCTGCACTTTTAAAAAGATGAAATTGTCCAGTGAGCTGTTTTCAAACGAAATTTCTTTTTTGTTTTACACTTCTGTAAACAAGTCTAAAAGTATTTGGAAGTTAAATTACGCATCCTGTATTGAGCTGATAAGGGACGCCATTTGTTCCGTATTTTCACAAATAACTAAATAAACAGTCATTTCGGTGGCACCTGCGCACAGAACAACTCTACTGTTGCGAGTGTGACCCATGCCTGATTCTCTCTCCCTCACTCTCGTAGCTAGAGCTTAGAGTTCTACTGTTCTTGATTCACCTTCCCCTTATGACGTCGGCCGTCTAAAGCATTCTCCACTCGGTAATCTCTATACTTAGAGATTACCGAGAGAATGCTATCTCTATACTTGGGGCGTTTGTCATGGTTTCCTGGTGACGGTCTTCATGTTTAGTTTTGGTTCTACAAACTGCGCACCGGCGCACAACAACTCAAAGCATCCATTGCAGCATTATTCATTGGAAGTGCTGACCTGCTCAAGTGCATTTAAACAAATACGAAGCACTTTATTCATGAATACCGCTAGTCGTAAAACTTTCTTTTTTCCTTGAACGATTTAGCCTATCTGAAGAGAAAGGGAGGGAGAGAAAGACGCCAAACATATAGGGAACATTACCAGCGGTAATCTTCTCTATAGCCTAAAATAATTCTACCAGGCATCATTCTGTGCGCGATGATACTGTGCAAACTTAACATTTCCATTTATTAATTATTTTAATTGGCTGCAGCTTTTTGCAAGAAATACAAGCCACTCTCAAAGAAGAAAATAAAAGTATGGTTCTGTGTTGAGTTGAAACGGGAAACAATTTGGTTAAAATGCAGGAAATTGCATCTAAGAAATACAAGATTTTCTGGGGGAGGACCCCTCAGACACCCCACTAAATGAAGTTTCTCTAGGACCCCCACATCCCTTATTTCCATTTCTAAAAGGTGGAAACCCTACGTATAATGTTAACACAGGAGGGACTCCATCTGCTGAAACTAAATACACCCAGAGCCTTTCAAAGCTAAGCTAATGACCGTTGCCAATCTCCTGATCATACATCATCTTCCTGCTCTACATCACAAAGCGAGTTAGCATCACATTAACAGGCTAATGGTGAGCTAAACACACTAACATCCGGTATATAAAGTCATGTTATCGTCATAATGGATTTTCAGCTCTGCTTACACCTCTGCATTCAGACACAAAGACAAGCTTGATATCAGAGAGTGTTTTTAGACCACAACAGACAAGATGCCAATACTAATGTCCTCTTCTTCACACCGAGGATCGATGCTAGCTAAAGTCACAACTCTACTGAGACACTGCTATTATTATTATTATTATTATTATTATTATCATCATTATCATTATTATTAGCAGAGGTCTGCTCTGTGATTTGGTTGGTTTAAATAGATATAAATAAAAAAAGTTTCCTTCTTTTAATGTGTTTTGAATTTTGAGATTGTTACTATTGTAAAGTAAATGTAGGAATATTACAAATTTCTGACATCCGTTATAACGATCAATGATATTATACACTTTCAGGAACTAGATGTACCAGAAACAAGTGCGTCCCGAAGGTTTCTAATGTAACTAGCTTGGTTGTTTGTGCAATAAAAAAAGAAAAAAAGCTGTTTGCATATTTGCAACACCCGTTGTTGCATATTTGCAACAATGGGTGTCACAAGGTTAAATAAAGGTATAGTGGAGGATGTTTTTTTTCTGGGTGGATCATCAAAATAAGTGGTCCTCCTTATTGCATCTTCTTTTAGAAAGTAAGCTTGTTTGAGCGATGCAAACAGCAACTTTTAAACACAGCGTGCACGTGGAGAAATGGACTCTTGCATGCATTAAATAGGCCTTCCCTCTTAGGAGTGGGTACAGAGTTGTGCTTTTTTTTTTTTTTTAGTGGACAGGACGGGTCTTTTAAACAATTTGTCAAAATTCTCCATTATACCTTTAAGAAATGACCTGCCTGATAATAGAAATTTTAATATATTATACAAAAAAAAAACATGGTTTGAAATTAATATTTTCCCTTTTTTGCTTACAAATGAATTCTAATTTAGAAGCCAATTTCAAATTACATTTTTTATCAGGTTTAATGAAAAAAAAAAAGTTTAATTCTACAAAGAAAATGCTAAATCTAAAAGAACAAACACTGCACGTCCACTTGGACCCACATTATGATGATTTTCGTCAAAAATAACTAGGTTAACAAGAAAAAAGTCCAACACAGCAGTTTTTATGCTGTTTTGCATAAAACCTCAGCAGAGACAAAACTCTATATAAGGGGTCTTCAACGTTTTCCAGGCCAAGGACCCCAAACTGATGACTAGATGTATATATTGTATGAAATTGTGTTCTATCAAACTGATCCTATAGTCACTGTGTTACAAATGGAGTAATGTAACGAAAGTAATTTCTCCCTGGGATTATTAAAGTGTTTCTGATTGTGATTCCTGGTTGATGGGACAGGTGTTGTGAATGAAACGGTGCCCAGCTTGAAAGAGCTCCTGTATGTCACTGAATGTGAGCATTGATGACTGAAAGACATCTTCTGCCTCCATTTATCTGTTTACTACAGTCTGTTGAATTCATGTTAATGTGGATTTAAAGGGGGAATATAATAAAAAATTCTAATCAACCAAAACTTTCCCGACCCCCATGCAGTACCTCCGTGTAACCCCTAGGGGTCACGGACCCCCTGTTGAAAACCACGGCTCTATATCCTTTGAGTTAAGGAGTATTTTCTTTTAGCAATCCATGTATTGCTTTTTATTCCCTAATTTCAAGTTGAGTTATGCAGTAATTACAGGATAACTTCATCACAGCAGATTTCAAGGGAAATTAGCTTTTAAATGCTTTAAAATTAGATAACACAAAGGTAATTGAAATGCTAAGTGTAAGGATTAAGTTCCCATTTCTGACCACAAGGTGGAGAGGTTAGACTGAGAAACGACAGGCCGTGTGGTTGCACACAGAGGACATTTTGTCTCAACACAAACACACATTAAACTGACACTTTTGATTTTTAGCGGTTTCCAGACGCTCTGACAGCCACACCAGAAAGCCGGCGGTGCTTTCAGGGACGGCTTTAGTAATACAGACAGGATAACGGGGCAGACGTTATCCTGCTCGACATCTGTGGTGTGATTTCTGTTTTTTTTTTTCACGCCGCCAGTCTTCCTGATACCTCCTCATCGTCGTCCATGTACTGTTTGTATCTCTGCTCCATCATCTCTCTCTGCCATCTCTCCTGCTCAAGAGTCTGCTGGATCAACTGAGCCACTTCGCTCTGCTCGCCCGGTTTCTCCCTGCCAATAACAAACCTAAAAAAAAAAACAACAACACACATTTAACCCAAACTTGAAGCATGAAACTCAATTGGCTTAAAATATTAAAACCATATCAACCAACTGAGACTGACTTGACTTTGCCTGAGGTGTTGCGGAGCACTGAGGCGGCAAAGCTCTGAGTGACGCCGACCAGACTGGTCCCATCGACCTCCACTATCAGATCATTCACCTGGATCCTGGAGCAGAAACAAACCCACTGTATGCATGATAATGTACATACTGTACAAATTTAAAGAATATTTCTATCCACATGAGTGCAAACCACCATCTATATGTTAGTCTGAGTACCACTATCAGAACGGAAGTAGGCTCTGAAAAAAAAAAACTGTTTCACTATGACGACTGATGGGCCAACAAAACCCAACTGTAACTTTTCATCTGTGACATGAACTTTCTGAAGCAATGAGACACTCTAAATTTAACCCCAACCGGAACTTCAATTTATTTTATTGGGATTTTATGTGACGAGCCAACATGGTTATAAAGTGGAAGGAAAATAGTGCACGGTTTGAAAATGTATGCATAGATAAAAATCTAAAAACTGCAGCGTCTTCAGTCTAATACGCCTACATATGTTCCACTAATTAGTAAACAATCACCAGCTGAGTGTGGTTTAATATCTCTGATCATCCTGTTCTATGAGGACCTCAAAAATTATGCTACATTCATAGGGTTGGGAATTGAAAAGATTTTCACGATTCCGATTCCCTTTTCGATTCTATGAAACGATTCGATTCTTTATCGATTCTTTTTTCGATTCCAATTTGGGGGAAAAAGGAGAACAAACAGTTTGATTATCAGAATCAACTTTGTTTACTTAACTATTGCACAATCTTACAAACTCAACAAGATCAAGATGTCCACAGGAAATGTGAAACTGGAGTAACATCTGTGTTTAAATGAAAAATGAATACAAGAACAAACTTAATAACCAACAATGTCTAATAACAAATGATGGGATAATAACCTATTTTAAATAACAAAAAATACTAATTATAAAACAGTAGTAGGGAAAATTAAGTTATTTTGCAGAAAGATGAGCATATCTGCTTTTTCTGGAAGGATACGGGATCTTTCAGGGCTTATGGTGTCTCCAGCCGTGGAGAACACCCTCTCAGATGGGGTGGAGGAAGCCTGCACACAGAGGTAGTTTTCAGCCTGTCCAGATAGCAAGGGCAGCGTATCTTGCTTGTTCCACCACCACAGTGTGGCGCTATCCCTGCAGGGGATGGAGGGCAAGCTTTTACAGAGCTGGATTTCCTGATCTACCCTCTGGGCTAAGGAAAGACGGGGCTTTGATTCACAAAGTGACCGCAGCTCGTTGTCTTCCTCCTCGAATAGTTCTTCTAACTTGCGTAACTTGCGTAAGTTGCGTAACTTACGTAAAAAAACGTGACGTAAGTCGTGCTCCCTAGAGCCGGCGCACTAGGCTCTGGTGCTGCGGGAATCGAAAAAAGAATCGTTCAGCGAGCTGCCAAACGATGCCATGGAATCGGAAAATACGGAACCGGTTCTTAACAGGAACCGGTTTTCGATTCCCATCCCTATACATTCATACCGAATGCGATTTGGGCTGCAAAAAAGCGTCTGCTGCTTTATTTTTTATGCTTTTACACATTAACATCCACCTCATTTCTGGAAATTCTCGCCTGTTTAGCATTTCCAAATGGAAAAGTAAATAACTTAGGAACTGTAAGCCCAAATTACATGTGTGACACATTATTTGAAAGCTAACACCTTCTGGTTTATGAATATTGGGTAAGTAAAACATCCCAAGCTGCATCAGTTCAAACTTGACTCAGTTTTTTTTTTATTATGCTAGATAATAATAGGTCTACAGCAGTAATAAAGACATGCTTGCTTTGTCATGTTTACATTTTGACATGCTGCTATATCTGTGTAAATTGTGCTTTGGTGCTCGCTATGTCCATAAAATGACCTTGGTAGTTGAATTGTGGAGAATCTAAGCTTTCCAACGATGCCTAACATGTCTATATTGAGACAGACACCCTGTCTAATTTTAAGCCTAGGTTTAAAACTTTCCTCTTTGTTAAAGCTTAAAGTTAGAGTGGCTCAGGTTATCCTGAGCTATCTCTATAGTTACGCTGCTATAGGCTTAGACTGCTGGAGGACATAGGGACCCTATTTCATCATTCTATCTCTATTCTCCCACTCTGTAGAATCTGTTAGTTCAATCTCTAACGTTCTGCTCTCTCTGCTTTTTCTCATAAGAGCTTCTGGTCTGTTCCTGTTTTGCTGTGACTCCATCCTGGAGAGAAATATCAGCTGTGCTGCTGCCATCAACACCTTTGTTTATATATGTTTGAGATCGGCCTGTTTTTCAGTGTAGTCCTGTTTCTCTGACTGTGACTGGCTGGATGTGCTCTCTTCATCCTCTAACATGGGAGTTGTCTCAGAGCTCATCTGCCTGGCTGTGTGTTTCCTGGAAGGGGCCGCCTTTTACAGCTGCTTTTTGTATCTCTGCTTCTGTCTCCTTAAACCTCAGTCGGCCTCAGCAGATGGCCGCTCACACTGAGGCTGGTTCTGCTGGAGGTTTCTTCCTGTTAAAAGGGAGTTTTTCCTCTCCACCGTCGCTACAAGCATGCTTAGTGTGAGGCATTGCATTCGAGACAATGAGTCGATGCAATCAACTGCTTTTCCTTACATAGAAAACTTTGAATCAATTTAACTGGATGATCTGCTGAAATGTAAAGTGACTTGAGATGACATGTGTTGTGAATTGGCGCTATAGAAATAAACTGAACTGAAATTAACTGAACTATATTGGTAAGTATTTTAGCAGTTGAATTTTCATGCATTCTGAGTTATTAGTTGTAAATGCTTTAAAACGGGTCGCTGGCGACCCGTTGGATTTAGAGAGGTTAAAGTGAGACGCGTCTCAAGAGCATCTTTGACGCTCCTAAAGTGCATCCAAGATAGTTTGTCCAAATGCGTCTGATGCATTGCTATTCCTGAGTTCAATGGCAAAGAGCAGCTTTGCTATAGTTGCTGTGATCAGTGGGTAGAAGGTAGTTTTAATAAGTTAGAAGGTCCATCTGAAAATATAATCTTTGCAGTCAGTTCATAAAGATTATGATACTGCCCTAAAATATTTTTGCTGTCAGAGAGGCGCTCAGACCCCCACATACCGGCTAGGTCGCCTCTTCGGGGCGGGGTTGTTGCGACGGAAGGTTTGCAAGCAGTTTTGGTTGTGGCCGGTTTGTTGGATGCATCTTGCTAACCAGTTAGCACCTTAGTGCTAGTAGGTTCCCAATGGGAAATTACATTGGGACCAAGTAGCACTAAATTGGTCAAGTAAATGATTCTTATTTCCACCTTTGCTTATATCAGCTGCGACATATGAATCAAGATCCTATGACCGAAAAAATTCTATTGGCAAATGACCATTGATATATGATTGGCCAAATGTAGGTGTACAAGCTGACATACAGGTGCTGGTCATAAAATTAGAATATCATGAAAAAGTAGATTGATTTCAGTAATTCCATTTAAAAAGTGAAACTTGTATATTATATTCATACATTACATACAAACTCATATATTTCAGATGTTTATTTTGTTTAATTTTGATGATTACAAATGACAACAAATGAAAATCTCAAATTCATCATATCAGAAAATTAGAATATTACTGAAGACCAATAAAAACAAAGGATTTATAGAAATGTTGGCCAACTGAAAAGTATGAACATGAAAAGTATGAGCATGTACAGCACTCAGTATTTAGTTGGGCCTCCTTTGGCCTGTATTACTGCAGCAATGCGGCGTGGCATGGAGTCGATCAGTCTGTGGCACTGCTCAGGTGTTATGATAGCCCAGGTTGCTCTAATAGTGGCTTTTAGCTCTTCTGAATTGTTGGGTCTGGTGTATTGCATCTTCTTCTTCACAATACCCCATAGATTTTCTATGGGGTTAAGGTCAGGAGAGTTTGCTGGCCAATTAAGAACAGGGATACCATGGTCCTTCAACCAGGTACTGGTAGCTTTGGCACTGTGTGCAGGTGCCAAGTCCTGTTGGAAAATGAAATCTGCATCTCCAAAAAGTTGGTCAGCTGCAGGAAGCATGAAGTGCTCTAAAACTTCCTGGTATGTGGCTGCGTTGACCCTGGACCTCAGAAAACACAATGGACCAACACCAGCAGATGACATGGCACCCCAAACCATCACTGACTGGAAACTTTACACTGGACTTCAAGCAACGTGGATGAAGTGCCTCTCTTCTTTTCCTCCAGACTCTGGGACCTTGATTTCCAAAGGAAATGCAAAATTTACTTTCATCAGAGAACATGACTTTGGACCACTCACCAGCAGTCCAGTCCTGTTTCTCTTTAGCCCAGGCAAGACGCTTCTGACGCTGTCTGTGGTTCAAGAGTGGCTTGACACAAGGAATGCGACAGCAGAAACCCATGTCTTTCATACGTCTGTGTGTGGTGGTTCTTGAAGCACTCACTCCAGCTGCAGTCCACTCTTTGTGAATCTCCCCCACATTTTTGAATGGGTTTTGTTTCACAATCCTCTCCAGGGTGCGGTTATCTCTCTTGCTTGTACACTTTTTTCGACCACATCTTTTCCTTCCCTTCGCCTCTCTATTAATGTGCTTGGACACTGAGCTCTGTGAACAGCCAGCCTCTTTAGCGATGACCTTTTGTGTCTTGCCCTCCTTGTGCAAGGTGTCGATGGTCGTCTTTTGGACAACTGTCAAGTCAGCAGTCTTCCCCATGATTGTGTAGCCTATAGAACTAGACTGAAAGACCATTTAAAGGCTTTTGCAGGTGGTTTGAGTTAATTAGCTGATTAGAGTGTGGCACCAGGGGCCATCAATTTTGAACCTTTTCACAATATTCTAATTTTCTGATATGATGAATTTGAGATTTTCATTTGTTGTCATTTGTAATCATCAAAATTAAACAAAATAAACATCTGAAATATATGAGTTTGTATGTAATGTATGAATATAATATACAAGTTTCACTTTTTAAATGGAATTACTGAAATCAATCTACTTTTTCATGATATTCTAATTTTATGACCAGCACCTGTATAACTAACTGGCCTGGATAACGAAATAAAACCCAGAATTTAAGACAGGATTTTTTTTTTTTCTAAAAATTTTCTAAAGATAGTCTGATAAATAGTACATTTATATACACGTTTAAGCCAGAATGATTTGACATGCAAATATAACTTCCCTACAACTTTAAGTTATGTTGTGACAAAATGGGGAAATGTTTTGGTTGCATGAATAGTTTTCATTTTTCTGTTCAGCTTGTTGATCCCGATCCAGTTGGAACAAGTCTCAGGACGAGTACAGACAGGTGGACGGGGTACCTGCCGTCTCTGTGAGCCGCTCCACCCTCAGTGACCGTCTTCACAAAGATCCCCAGCTTCTCCAGACCCATATCCGCTCCCGCTCCCATGCCGATGATACTGATACCAAGGCCGTCGCTGTCTGAGGGTCACAAAATACAAAAACAATCACTTTTTTGTTTGGCTTAGACGTGAGGACAGTTATTAGAGCTTATTACAACTTTAAACAAACAGCCCATCAATGTAACATTTTTCTAATTGAAAATAAAAGCTATTCCATTGTGAAAGAAATGAATGAATTGAAAAACAATAAGCAGAAGTTAAGAAAATCTTTTGTGTGTAATGTTAAAATGGTTCTTCAGTTTAGTGAGGTTTGTGGGCATTTTTGTCCACAGCTCTCGAGGTCTCACCGCAACATTTTATTCTGCCGCAGTCTAGACTTTGACAAGGCCAAAATGTTTTTATTTCCTTTCCTTTGTGTAGACAGTCTAATTTTAGCCAAGCTTCAACTGTTGTATATTAGCCACTATTAATATATAAATCATTACCTCTCTTGGCTTCAGCACATATTGGAGCACATCCTTTATTTCATGTTATGACTAATAATTTGAAGACCTGGTTTTGATTTGGAAGAAAGCATTTTTTCATGTCGAAAATAAAATTTTAAAAAGTGTCATATTTAGCCGTAACTTTTTCCATTTTGACCTTTCAAATATGCTTTCACTGTAGCTGCTAAGCTAACACATGTTAGCATGACACAGTTACCTTTCTAATAGATGAAAGTGTTGTTTTTCGTATATTATATATGTCAGCATTGTAGCCATGTCATGTTAATGCTGTTTATGAAAGCATTGTAGCTACTATGGTGATACAAGCTAGCATTGATGCTAATAAATTCAGGCATTTTTGTTATCATGCAGTATTGTAGCTGAATATGAAAACACATAATGGTATCATTGATGGTATCTCGATTAATGTTGGTGTTAAAGTTAATATAGAAGTTATTAGAAGCTAATCGTGTAGTTATTATACAAATAAATATTATAGATAATATATTTTATGAGTATGTGGATACCATGCTAATACATAGAAGTATTGTAATTAATGTGTAAAAAGATAATATGCTAATCTATTCAGTGTTGTTTCTAATTCAGAATCATAACTATTATTGTAATTAATCTGTTTATACGTGTTAAAATTGAAGCTTTCTTATTATCCTTTGCCAGCAGGGCTTAACATTAATACAAGCCAACTGGCCAAATGAGGGTGAAGATAAACAGCCAATCCGACTAGCCACTTTGGCAAGTCACATTCTATATACATTTTTGTATTTATCTTACTCAAATGACGTTTGAAATAATAAACATATTGAAATGTGACACTACAACTTTGGTGGGGTTATGTGGCGACACATTCAAAGTGTCAAGAAACCAAGAAAAGCAGGCTAAAAAAAACAATGAAAAACTGCAAGTATGTATAACAACATCATTTAAAACGGTTGTAAATCCAGTTCAAGCACACTTTAGCAGACCATAGTCAGCTTTAACCAGGTAAAACACTATTTCCCAACAACAAAATCGTGGCTAGTAAAAATGCCAAGTGGCCAGTAACTCAGGATATCCACTAGTCAGAGTGGCTGGTTAGCAAATAAAGCTAATCTAAATATTCTGGCTAAATGCAAGTACCTGTTCATATCATACAACTAATCAACTAATATACTACTAAGTACTTTGATAATATTTTAAAATAGAATAGCTGGTATGCTACATCAATACAAGAACTCATGTGGGTATTGTCTAATTGTTATGCTAATACATTTATAAAATAAGCTAATTTACATTTATATTGCAGCTAAATGTTAATATATATAAATATTTGGGAAGTATTATGCCTATAAATACTATCAGTGTTGTGGATATACACTGCTGTTGTATGGTAACATTGATAACTAGACATCACACACACCATCTGGTCCAAATCTATTACCTCCCGAATTACAAGCTGCTAATTAGGCTAATCCACACTAACTTTAATCCTATAAGAAGATAAGTGTTACAAGCAGAGAAAGGGAGTATGCCCTTTCAAGGAACCTCCACTGTTTATCTGGGTGTGTGTGTGATTTGTTTGGTTACATAAGAGACTTGACTTGGTGACTCTTGGCGACTTTGATGGCGTACAAACCTTTTTCAAGCTCAACAGGAAACAAATCCAGCTTTTCAACTCTCTTTTCAAGCTCATACTCGGCCGAAGCAGCCATGGGGTCAACGTCGTCATTGCGGCGGTCGTAGTCTTCGTTAGAGTAGGTAGTGAAGACCTAAACAGGGGATAAAGGTTAAAGGTCAGACATTTCTACATAAAGCATTTCATATCGGTCAGATCTAATCAAAAGGACACCAATCAAAATATGAAGGGAAGAGTTAAATACAGAGCTAAAACATTTAGAGGCTTCAAAAATCGAAGGAGACAGGCTGAGCCACAATGAAAGAGTTTAAATCCAAACACGATCAATTAAAATTAAAAACATCTAACAGCATATCCCTGTAAATGAATGGCCTAGTCAAAGTCCAGACCTTAACCTCAACAGATTTATGTGACAATACTTGATATTTGCTTTTACAGATAATAAGTCTTTCAGTGTCTTGAAGGGGGTTGTTTATAAGGTTTTCCTTCTCATTTATTCATCTATCAAAACAAATAAATATTAACATAGAACCTCAAACCATTTGGTTAAATATGAAAAAATGTTTTGCAAAATCCAGCAGGTTGTGAATACTTTTGTAACACACTGCATGTATTAATATTCATATTAACTGTTATCATATAAAAAATATTGTCACACAATCTACATTCTACACTTTACTTTTAATGTTCTACTGTTTATTTGAGAAATTACCCACTACATGTAGTTACCGTACCCCTCCATAGTATCCTGTTATTTGTTCTGCCATCTATATTTCCCCTCCCCCAACCCCAAAAGGTCATCAGCATCGGTTTCCTTGGTAACCATCTTGATCAGGCTGCATCACGATGGCAGCCTATAATCTGGCCCAGTCTCACTGGGATTCTATAAATATACTAAACATATACACACATATACATACACAAATATATATATATATATATATATATATATATATATATATATATATATATATATATATATATATATATATATATAGCTGAGAAAAGACACAACAGATTAAGAATCTTATTGTGTAGGAGGCTTTTCTTTCTGTATTATTTACATTCCATTCATCTGTGGAAGATACAAAGATACACTCTCTCTGTATCACTCTCTCTACTTCTTTCTTTCTCTCTTTAACGCAATCACTCTGACACGAACCAGCAGAAACGGGGTCATAGGGCAGTATTGTTAGACTACTTCCTGTTGTCACACTTCCTTCCTGTTGAGTAACTTTAAGCTGTGTAAATGCCTGCACAAACGTGCTGCGAAAAGGTCCCAATTCTCCCTGCAGACAAGCAAGAACAACTGAGTCAACCTTAGAGACGGCTCAAAACCAAAACTAAACAAAAACAGATAACAGTGTCAGAAAATGCATGACCTGATCAGGTTCATTTCACTGTGGAACTCAGTGGTTCAACTTAGATAGACGTTTTTCTCGAGAAATTTTCAACTTCCCCTTTTCTGTTGAAATACGTGGATTGTTGTTCTTATAACTCCATCCAACTAGCATATCTTTAAATAGTTTCATATTTATGAGGAGTTTTTTATTTATATATAAAAACTGAAACATAGAAGTTAATAAATAAAACATCCTTTCAGAATAAGATAAGCCCACCTGTAGAATATTTCACATTATTGAATTCAGATTATCAGAGATTCCCACTCAGTCCCAAACATATTGTTCTTAAATAAATTCATCCTAACTTTATACAATGGTCACAATGTAAATACGAAGATGGAGACAGGGCACAAAGACTCGAAATAGATGAATTTTCCATGCTTTTATTTTTTTTCATAGCTATGCAAAGATGGAACAAATCTAAATCAAACCCCAGATATTTCAGTGATGGAATCATGGAATCAGGTTATTGACAACCTCTGTTGATAAAGGCGAAGCTGCAAGAATTTATCTGCTAGTCCAGACCTTTTACCTCATGCTGGGTTTTGTCTTTGCACACACAGTCCAATGCAGCTGGCTGGGTTGTGACACAAGAGCGTGGGAAACCAATCAGGCACGGCAAATAAAAGCACATCATGACATGAGAGGCTGGAATGGAGGAACACGCACATTTAAATAATTGACTCCATATGGAGGCTCTGCGATTTCAATAGCCTCATTAGTTTTAGCATCTACCATCAGTCCAGCAGGTCCGGCAGTTTGAACTCATCCTTAGTTTATCCTCTAGGCTTCATGTTGAGCTCCATTTGGATCAGGATTCAAATAAAATGTTACCCAAAAGGTTTAAAAAGGTTACCAATCTTGACCTCAAAATCCAAAATGGCTACTATATTCAAACCAATGTTAGGGCAGCAGTAGTAAACCGACCTTTAAAACTAATTAAATCAAATACAATAAGATCATTTCAATGTTACAGGGACCACAAATATTTAAATTATTGAGGAATACATTTTTGATATTTTGTAATGCTTATCCTACTTGCAAAAATTAGCAAATATCATTTGACTGGAACTCGGTTACACTGTTGAGCTGTGACATCATTGATCGTCCTCAGTTGACATTATTGGAATGAAACATTTAGGATTTGTTACTTTTGCAATGAAGCCATTGTCTTTTCTTCTCATTTTTATATATCAGTATACCATCTGGGAATTAGAGCTCTGCAATCGCCCTTTGGTAGTAAAATAACTTTGGTCAAATTAATCAGAAACATGGTTGAGTTACTGTCTTCTTGAACCGCTTCTTGCAATCTTCATGCAGAGGTAAGTACATCTCCAGCAGCGCAGACAGAGTGTCTACATAGTCCCATATGACATTAGCTAATGCCCCTTCTTATGACGTCAACATATGGCAACTCCACTCGGACAAACTGTATTGCACTGGTTTCTTAAGGATCAAATCTCTTTTGGAGTCTCAACATATAATTACCTATATTTGCTATTATTTGACATTTCATTGGCGATCTAAAGTAGCAGGTAGTAGAAAACAATCATCGTCAGTCTTGAGGGAAAGTACTGAGCTCTGCCATTTAACAAGGTGACAAAAAAAGTCACATATTATTTATGCTTTTATTAAGATCTGAAGGCAGTGGAGGACAAATGGAACATCTTAAAAAATGACTTTGATAGAGATTTTAGACAAAAGAGTTTTAGAAAACTAACGGTTGTTGTTGACACGAAGTTAAGTAGTGTAGCTTAATATGGCTAACTAACTGAGCTAAAAGAGGCTAACCTGTCAGCTACTGAGCACAGCTAGCCACAGTGCTACCCAGCTCTCCCCTTTATATCATGGTCTAACAGTTACTCTGTCCACCATAAAAAGATTTTTTTCAGTTTTGTTATCGATTCGATAAAACTTCAGTCATTAGACCCACTAAAGGCCAATTTATGCTTCTGACGCATACCCTCTGCAACCATCAAATCTGTCTCTGTGCATCTCAAAAAAATCCGGACTACGCGTCAGACGGTCGCAAACCCGCCTAGACCTCAAGCGGAAGTGCGCAGACAAAAAGCAGCTGTGATTGGTCCTTGGTATGCCTTTCCGGCTCTCTGTGCGGTCGTCCTTCTCGATTCGCTGCCGGGACGCACCATTTTTAAAAACAACTACAATGGATAACTATGACGAAAGGTTAATCGAGAAGGTCGAAGTTCTTGCGAGTTCTCAAATAGGCTCCCCCTTGCGCTTTGGCGGGAAACTGCTGTGCGTCCCTAGAAATTCCAGCAAAACTGGTTCGGGACCTGACCCAAGCAACATTTGATGTGTGCAGTTGGAGAGCTCTAATCTGCCCTTAACACTACAGATGCTCCCGACTCAGCACACGGACACTGTGTGATTAAATTATCGTTGTCTGGGCAACCACAATGTTTTACATCATGTGGCAACGTTCAGCCAATCACGTGGTGTAAAGTCACCGGCAGTGAAGGACCCGAGCAGATCTGGTACCTACGCCGTCACATCTCCAAATTGTATAGTTGTGGCACAATAAGCAACGGATCCAGTGTCTCATGTGGGATTTTGCAACATTTACAAAAATACAGAATCACTGGGATAATTTAACTAAATTAGGAGGTAACTTAAGCATACTAACATGTAAAATGTGTATGACCAAGATGACCAAGTTACATTAGCTAATTAAAGTGTGTTTTTTGAGCAGTTGTATTTTTTATCTATTTCAAATCATACTTACCTAAATGAATTGTGTTAAAAATAACTTTGTTACAAGGACATTAACTGTAATGAATATTTAAAAAAAATGTTTAAAAAAGTAACTTAAAAGTTATTTTTAAAAGTAAACTAACAAATTAACTGAGTAGCTTTATGGATGAACTAACTGGTAACTAACTACTTTTTTCCAGTAACTAGCACGATACTGTTCTCTGATAATATCTCCTCTGTATTTAATCTCCTTGGTCTTTATTGTTCCATGCTGGATCCTTCCCTCATCCTGTTCAACGTTTCTTCAAATCAGTAAGTTATCAGCTGTACTGAAACCCCTTTTTTCCACCATGCTCTTTAGGTTTTCTACATTTGGCAGTTCAACAATTACAGGACAAAGGCCCATTAGGACGGAAAACAAGCTTTTTGACTTTTTCTCTGTTTTCTAGCAGCTAAGTGACTAAATTAGCTGAGAAACCTGTCTGACAAAAACTGCTGTTTTTCTCAGGATGAGTTCCAAACCAGCATATTGTGATTCCTGATCACAAAGCCTCAGATTGTAGATGTTGACAACCATTCACATTTTTTTCAATGCTTCGATTGTATTTCAGTTTAACATGGTCGGTTATTTGGCGATCCTGAATGAAATGCACACATCCTGGCAAGATAACAAAGCCCATTTCCTAAAAGTCAGTGAGTCTGGAATGTAGGCTATAGCATACCATATCCTACTGCTGCCAAAAAAAGGTACACATCCACTTCAGACCAACAAAAGGATTGATTTACATGAAAACTAGGACTGATTAGTATCTGGAGGAGACATGTGTCCAGACACAGATAATCCCCTGGGTTATAATTCACTTTTGTTAAAGAAGCACAGCACCAAGACAGAGGTGAGCTTACTGGTTATCTCTGGGCTCTGAGAAAAGATGCACAAGCTGGTTAGGTGTGATTCATTAAAGAACTTTATGTTTGTGGCACTTAACTTGAAATGAACCTTTTCTAATGGATTTTC